TTATTGACAATTGTCATTATAACGAGTATCTATTTTGTGGTAATATATTAATAAAAACCAAATTTATCCACGATACTTAACATCCTTTAAAGTATTTATATATGAGCCGTGTCACGACAAAACCAACATAATGCGTTTGCGACCAGCATGGATCCAGACCAGCCTGCGCATCCGCGCAGTCTGATCAGGATCCATGCTGTTCGCTATTAGTTTCTCTACTTGTAGTAGGGTTGGTTAGCGAACAGCATGGATCCTGTTAAGACTGCGCGGAGGCGCAGGCTGGTCTGGATCCATGCTGGTCGCAAACGCCCTATGTTGGTTTTGTCGTGACGCGGCTCATATATTTTTGTGAAACTTTCTAGGATGTTTCTGAATCAGATTTTGATGATATCTTTATTGATTTCTTAAATGCATAACACTTTGAAGCTTTGTTTTTTGCTGAACAGCTCATTCATTAAAGTACCTTTCGTTTACCAAGTCAATGATAGGCAAGAAATCTTCCATATACGAAAAACATGTCTTATGGTTCTTGGAAAAATGGCTTTTATTGACACACCGTCTTTAACAAAGGCAAAGGAAACACACACAAAAAAACCCTGTTCTATAATATAGGTGATTCTTGATTCTTAGATACCACGTAGTCTGTGTTACTTTATGCGGATGTCTTTGTGTTTTTTGTAGGTGATTCTCGAGGGAGTTACTTGTTACTTTGTGCAACTTTCTAGGAGGATGGTCATTTTATTTTTCCTCGTTTAACAATTCCTTTTTTAGCTAAGTGGCAATGAAAAATCTCTCAAAGTGAATGATTTGTTTATATAAGGTAATAAAAGGTTGCGGTAAGGAATGAAAGTAGCTTTGACATGTCAAGTAAGATAAACCTATTTCAACTATATATTGCACAGTTGTACCTTGTCTAAGATTCTATTCAGCCTCTAGCTACTGGCAGTGTCCATCATAGTAATTAAAACCTACAAAGTTGATAATTATACAACCGGACTGTCTCAGGGTCATTGGGCTAATCCTCATATTTTACTTTGCCCATGTACACAGTTTATCAAACGCCACTGATTTTATATTATAAAAATAACACAATGTTTCTCAGGGTAATAGTGCATATTAGCAATCCGAGAACTGAAATAACACATGAGGCGGATATTACATGTAGCAATCCGAGAACTGAAATAACACATGAGGCAGATATTACATGTAGCAATCCGAGAACTGAAATAACACATGAGGCAGATATTAGCAACCCGAGAACTGAAATAACACATGAGGCAGATATTACATGTAGCAATCCGAGAACTGAAATAACACATGGGGCAGATAGTACATGTAGAAATCCGAGAACTGAAATAACACACGAGGCAGATATTACATGTAGCAATCCGAGAACTGAAATAACACATGAGGCAGATATTACATGTAGCAATCCGAGAACTGAAATAACACCCAGGGCTGATATTAGCAACCCGAGAACTGAAATAATACCCGAGGCAGATATTACATGTAGCAATCCGAGAACTGGAATAACACACGAGGCAGATATTACATGTAGCAATCCAAGAACTGAAATAACACCCGGTGCGGATATTAGCAATCCGAAAACTGAAATAACACACGAGGCAGATATTACATGTAGCAATCCGAGAACTGAAATAACACATGAGGCAGATATTACATGTAGCAATCCGAGAACTGAAATAACACCCGGGGCGGATATTAGCAACCCGAGAACTGAAATAATACCCGAGGCAGATATTACATGCAGCAATCCGAGAACTGAAATAACACATGAGGCAGATATTACATGTAGCAATCCGAGAACTGAAATAACACCAGGGGCGGATATTAGCAACCCGAGAACTGAAATAATACCCAAGGCATATATTACATGTAGCAATCCGAGAAACTGGAATAGCACACGAGGCAGATATTACATGTAGCAATCCAAGAACTGAAATAACACCCGGGGCGGATATTAGCAACCCGAGAACTGAAATAATACACGAGGCAGATATTACATGTAGCAATCCGAAAACTGAAATAACACACGAGGCAGATATTACATGTAGCAATCCGAGAATTGAAATAACACCCGGGGCGGATATTAGCAACCCGAGACTTGAAATAATACCCGAGGCAGATATTACATGTAGCAATCCGAGAACTGGAATAACACACGAGGCAGATATTACATGTAGCAATCCGAGAACTGAAATAACACCCGGGTCGGATATTAGCAACCCGAGAACTGAAAAAATACCCGAGGCAGATATTACATGTAGCAATCCGAGAACTGGAATAACACACGAGGCAGATATTACATGTAGCAATCCGAGAACTGAAATAACACCCGGGCTGATATTAGCAACCCGAGAACTGAAATAATACCCGAGGCAGATATTACATGTAGCAATCCGAGAACTGGAATAACACACGAGGCAGATATTACATGTAGCAATCGAGAACTGAAATAACACCCGGGGCGGATATTAGCGACCCGAGAACTGAAATAACACACGAGGCAGATATTACATGTAGCAATCCGAGAACTGAAATAACACATGAGGCAGATATTACATGTAGCAATCCGAGAACTGAAATAACACCCGGGGCGGATATTAGCAACCCGAGAACTGAAATAATACCCGAGGCAGATATTACATGTAGCAATCCGAGAACTGGAATAACACACGAGGCAGATATTACATGTAGCAATCCGAGAACTGAAATAACACCAGGGGCGGATATTAGCAACCCGATAACTGAAATAACACACGAGGCAGATATTACATGTAGCAATCCGAGAACTGAAATAACACCCGAGGCGGATATTAGCAACCCGATAACTGAAATAATACCCGAGGCGGATATAAGCAACCGAGAACTGAAATAACAGCCGAGGCGGAAATAGACACCCGAGAACTGAAAAAACACCCGTGACGGATATTATACATGTAGCAATCCGAGAACTGAAATAACACCCGAGGCGGATATTAGCAACCCGAGAACTGAAATAACACCCGAGGTGTAACCGAGAGGTATGTGCTATTTTTTATTATACCGAACCAACATCTTAATGTAATTTTTCACCGCAATGCATTATTATTCCGAGAGCAATTCATCATGTTGAGTTTTTTTTAGGGAAGAAAACTAGAAAATTACGTTTTCTTAAGTCTATAAGGATTACTCGCCCCTGGGAATATTGGTAAAAGATATTGACCGGGTGATATTAAACCGCATGTGGCGTCACATTAGGCTATGTAGTAAAAACTTTACTTGGAAAGTAATCGATAGTTTATTGAAATTGATCTTGGGCATTTGGCAGAATCGGACTGTTGGAAGGCTTGAAACTGGCAAAATACAATACACTACACACGTATGTTGAGTATTTCGTAAATATAAAAATGCCTTAAATTGATTTTCGTTTAACAACCATGCATGTGTGTATCAATCGTATCTGTTTAAACATACAATAAAATGCAGGGTTTAAAGTTTTTTGATATTTGATATATAAAATAAGAATATTAATTATGTTCAAGGCAATGTTTATTTTCTTGTAAAAAGTACAAAACAAAACTAGGAAACTATAAAAGATAAAATATGAACTAGTCTGATATTTTAATTGGTATTTTATACTCGTATAATCAAGTTTTAATGTGTCTTGCCTACTTTCAATTCATCTTTCATAAAATTATGAACAAAAATGTCAAATTTCAAAGAAATTTATATTTTATTTCATTTATTCTATTTTACAACACTACAAGTTTTTATAATTAAGAAATAATATCGGTCTTAGCGGTGTTTATCGGCTATTTAAGCTACAGTCTCACTAACATCCCGGCAGAGCCCCGGTAGACGTCCGGGTTGCCGGGAACGACCGGGGTACGACCGGGAACAACCGGAGTACAACCGTAACTCTGCCGGCAACGTCCGGGATGATCCGGGAACATCCGGCATTCGACCCCGGATGGAATAAAAATTTAATATCACCGGGGTGGTCCGGGATGATCCGGGAAGGTATAGCTTTGCCGGCTTTATCCTTAGCTCTGCCGGGAATGACCGGGGTTATACCAGGGAAGCACCGTAGCTCTGCCGGCACAAACCGGCCCCTGTAACTACAGGCAGAGCCCCGGATGATTAAGGTAGAGCTACGGTTGATCCCGGTAGAGCCCCGGCAAAGCCCGGTTCATTTCAAAAGAATAACGACAATTTGCGATGATTGCACTTGTTTGTATTAAAACCCTTCCCATTTCCCTTCTATCCAGTCTGGAACAATAGATATTATATTAAATAAAAAGTATGTATCAATGTTATCATTTTCGGACGTTTTTAAGCTACCGGGGTTCTACCGGGGCTCTACCTGGATCGTCCTGGGCTCTGCCGGGGCTCTGCCTGGATCGACCGGGGCTCTGCCTGGGTCAACCGGGGCTCTTCCGGCATCATCCGGGAACGACCGGGAAAGCACCGGCATGAACCGTAGCTTCACCTGGGCTCTGCCTTGATGATTCGGAGCGCAACCTGGGTGGTTAGTTGGGAACTTCTGTAGTGCTGCCGGGGTAAGTGTGACTGCAACAATAATTTCAACCCGGATCGTCCCGGATCATCCCGGTAACTTACCGGGATGGTCCTGGGCTCTGCCGGGAGTAAGTGAGACCGCAGCTTAAACACCGGTTTGGAGTTTTGATGCATAGGAATAGACCACGAAGGCTGCGTTCATTGAACGCCGCCTTTCCTTGTTGATCTTGTGTATCATATTTTAACTTCGGAACACCTCTCTCCGATTATTCCTAATACAATGTAATAAGAGCTTATCCGGTGATTGAAGGAAAAATCCGACATGTTGATTTTTTTCGCAGATGCGACCAATCGAATTTCTTACTTTCCCGACATTTGAACAATTCAAGAAATCTTCCACACCTTCTTTTAAAGAAACTTTATTGTGTTGTTGATGTTGATGAATTAATTATTCATGGAGTATCATAAAATCGAGTTACCTTTTTGTTTCGCTTCTGGTGTAAAAAATCCAAATTAATTCCGTTTCGGTAAATGCAACCAAATCAACCCAAAAAAGTTATACTTATTTTGATATCTACTGTATTCAAATTTATGAATTTTTCTGTTGTTGTGCAAATAAGCGGAAAAAAAATTTGTATGCATAATATAGTTATATTTTATTCGACCCGGAAGTTTTGTTTGGGATCATAATTTGCTATACACCAGGAAGCGTTTCATAAAGAACCTTAAGACTTATTTTAGTCTTATGTGTAACTGCGTTTCAATAAAAGTCCTAAGTACAATTTTAAAACTAAACTTAGGACTATTCCTATAGGTGCCTCAGGGCACTCCTAACTTTTGTCTTAAGTTATAAATACAAAAAAACATTGCAGCTCTTATTGTATTGTCTGATATAGATATATACGTATAAGAAAAGATTAAGCTAATATACATCTAATTACCAGCAAGTATTATTCAGTACATTATTATATTGATTTTTACATATATTATAAGAACAACAATAACAACTTCAATAAATACTTTTAGGATAACTCAAACTTTTATGAAAATAAACACATTTATTTTTGCTTACGAGTGATACGTTTTATTCATAAAAGAAAATCCATTTCTGTTATATAATATATGAATGACCCTGTGACTGATATGCCTTTGCCAGACATATTTACGCGTACGTTTTAATATTCATGATTCAGTAAATTTGTAAATTTACATACCGGTAAATGTAAACACACTTCACTAAACAGGTAAGGCAGTTAATACATAAATGCATTATTACATGTCGTTTTGGTATAAAAAGAGAAATATTTCTATTAATAAAGGGATTATATATAAGGGATAATTTCAATACATTTCAAAAGAAATAAGAATTTTGTAAATAAAAAAGTAAAAAACGTTGTCTTGTCCTAATTTAAAGCCTACTGCTTTGGTATGTAGCAGTGAGAAATTCATGTGATAATTAATCCGAAATATGGCACCATTAAATTTAACACCAGTATGACGAAAATTTTCAACAAAAAAAAAAACTTATTTCCATGCGTTGCTGTCGGTGTTTACGTGTATTAAAACAGTTCATTGCGGTAACAAGAAAGAAAAGATAGTATCATTTATGTTTTTAAAGATGGTTTCCTTAAAACATCAATTTGATTAACAAAAAATGTTACGAGGTGTCTACATTGTATTCGGTGCGGGTTTCATTTCCTTCTGTTATCATTCCGAAACAGGAGATAAGGCAGAAATAGCACATAAAAAGATCTTTATGATGATAAAACAGACATAATCGCTAAAATACTTTAGATTAACAGATAACAGTAACAATGTACATGAAACTTAAACAAATCTAGGCGTGTAACACCGCACTTTGGGGTCCAACGCACTTTGTGGTCGGACCCCAGAGTGCGTTACACTTCGCATCGGACTTTGGGGTCCAACGCACTTAAGGGTCAAAATCTAGAAATTGACCCCAAAGTGCGTTAATATGCTACATATCAACGCAATTTGGGTTCCAGAGTTCTGAAGGTTTCAACTGAGTTCTGCTTTAATACTGACTTATTTTCGATCTGCGACATTGAAATATTGCAGGTGGAGTTCAAGATGACAGTCGGTACTTTGTTTGATGCTTAAAAGTTTCATTAATTTTACCATTTCAAATATCTTAAAATTGTGTTCATATAACAAAGTACTCTAGTATATAAATTGTGAATGTATTCTTAAAATTAAAAGATGCTGCGAAAAATATCATGTTCTGTCAGTCATTTACTTGATAACTTCTGGTGCCATATTGAGCCCTATTTTAAATATGAAAGTTCTTCACTAACTGATCAAGATCACTTTAAATCCCTATTGATTTTACTATAATTCAGGGCACATGTTTTGCGTCTATCTAATAAAAAATATCCCGTGTCAGTCATTTACTTGATAACTGTTGGTGCCATATTGAGCCCCATTTTAAATATGATGGGAATGAAAATGCAGTTAACATTTTTTTCCAAAAAAAAAAAACTATAAATATACTCTATTACAATATTCCGGTGAAATATCAAGTTTCTCGATAGGACTTTAAATAGTGATTTTACAAATACATTATTAAGCTTATTAACAAACTTAAGTTTTTTTGTAAGCTCCTTAACAACCGTTCGCTAGAGGCTTTTTAATGGGAAATCTCACATACATCTTTAGAAAGGGCAAACATGAATTTTATAATGCTTAAATTATGGTATTAGAGAAATGTAAGATTCTTGTTACCTCAATAAAGTAGCGATAAATGTGAAATTTTGTTTGTTTGTTTGATTTTACGCCTTTTTCCCAACAGTATTTCAGTCATATAGGCGGGAAGTTTCCTAACCATTGTTCCTGGAGAGTTACACCAGTACTAGACTACCTTCCTCCGTGCTTAACTACCAACGCATTACCCGGGGATCGAACCCATGCCAGAGAGGTAACTGGATTAGAAGTCATCGACTCTAACCTATCGACCACGTAGGCGGTAAATGTGAAATAATTTGTCATAAAAGTAGCAAATTGTAAACATTGATCGAAGTATTTGACATCCATATAAAATACTAATTCACTTTAACTGTACTCATTGCCAAAAAGGAACGGATGAAAAGAACAGCCAATGAGTAAAGGCCTCAACTGACGGAATGATTTAGTTGTACAACACTTATTAGAGATATGATGTAAAAGCAATACAACACTTGCATTCAGACAGTAATCCTGCATTGTAGGAATCATCTCAAAAAAATCCCTCCCAATTGATCCCTGACATACTTACTCACTAAAAAATATTTTTTCTCCATGAGTAATGATTGAAACACCTCCATTTAAAAAAGTCTATAATTGTCACAGGGCAAGATTAATGTGCAGCCTGACCGAGAGTCGAACCTGGGACCCTCGAAATACCGTACTGTGGCTCTACTGACTGGGCTATCCGTAATCTAGGATTCGAACATACCACAACTTTGGGTCTTCTGAAGAGTTTTCAATCATTTTATCCCATCTTACTACATGTAAAGTTATCTTTACATCCCTAATTGGAATTTCATTCATTAAACACATAACCAGGGGATCCTTGGGTAATATATCATCTGTCATCATGGGAGGTCTATACAACAAGAATTAAGAGATAGAACATGTCCTATCCTGTAATTCTGGTATTAAATTGTATGAATTCAAGAAAAAGTAGCCTTCACACAGTAAGATTTGCTTGTACATCTTAGTTTTAATTGGTGTTATACTTCAAAATCCTACCGTCTGTTGAGGCCTTAACTCTTTGGATACTATGGAAGTACACCAAAATTAAAAAGCTTTTAAGAAATACAAAATAAAAGCATAATGGGCCTTTAAAACATTACGTTTATAATCTCGGGGTGGGGGCTGCCTGTACGGACTACTATATACTTAAGGTCGCATCTATAGTTATCTAGTCAAGTTTCTTAAATATCACATTTAGATAAGCTAAACAAATTGCCCTTTCAACACACTATCAGGCACATTTTTTTAAATGAAATCTCTTATTAAATTTCCCAGAATTTATACCTTTGCCTCTTCTAAGACTAACATTTTTCTATAAAATATGTAAATAAAAAAACGGGAAACTGATGTAATTAGCTAAAAACAATGGAGTTAATGAAAGGTGTATGTTCTTTTAAAATAAATGGAAAATGTGAGAAAAACAATATTTTGAGCTTATTAATTGATACAAATTCTTTATTTGATGAAAAGTTCGTCACTAAAGATCATTTAAAATCCCTATTGATTTTACTTTAATTCAATGCACATGTTTTGCGGCTATTTAATACATGTACCTTGATTTTTGTTTACCATTGGCTTTGACTACAACATATCATTTAAAACATCATGAAAATTCATTTTTATTGATTGAATTTGTATGACCCCAAAGTACGGTCGTTTGTCTGATGCATATGTATATGCATATGTACCTGTTTAATGCACTTTGGGGTCAAAATTGGACCCCAAAGTGCGTAACGCACTCTGGGGTCGGACCCCAAAGTGCGTTTGACCCCAAAGTGCGGTGTTACATAGGCGCCTGAAAATAGTATTTTAAGAACTTCACATTAACTTAAAGGCAAACCGTACCTTAGAAACAAATTAATTTTTTCTTCTTTAAAATGATAATAATCAGTTTTAAAACGTTTAAATTACGGTTTTAGAGCATACTAAAGCGACAGGGGCGACATCGAAACAACGCGCCACACGACAACGCGCCGTTTGGCGTGCTTCGCTAGAAACAGAAGTTTGGCGCTTTGTCGTGTTGTCGCTAGCAATAAGACGAACAGGCGATAACGACATTTATGGAGGCTATTCGTTGCCGAAAATCCAGCCTTGTTGATCTGAGTTGAACAGTTTGTTTACAGACAAAATACAATTGTATTTCTTTGTTTGTAAACTCCAATGTTGCATTGTTGGATTGAATTTGCTGATTTAACATTGTAAACATGTATTTCAACAAAATACATTTTGTTAAACGACAAAACATTAACTGGTTTTCTGAGAGAAGCAATACCAAGTGTTCATTATAACATGTGGAATACTCATTGTTTGTGTATATGCCGACAAAAACAGAAGTTACTTTCTTAGCTTTACATTGTCAAACTATCATGATTCGAATCAGCATAATCCAGCTGTAAACGTTTTGCAATAGAAGATAAAATAAACTCCGCCCATTTTCCCGCCCACTACATCATCGTAAATAAACGTGTTTATCCGCTCATTTTCGGTCAGTGACTGGTTCTCCTTCTGCGGTCTGAGATCACAAGGAAGCAAGGAAACAAGGACACACACCGGCGTAGTTTCGTTAACCACACATTTCAAGTTTAAAACATTTTGGAGCCATTTATGACAGTTATTCACCAAACATAATTCACTTGCATGATTGCCATTCTATGCCTTTAGCGGACTTTAAATGATTATAGGCCTATAAGTTTTGAAACGTTGTAAAATACCACATTTCCTAGAAAGAGAAACTAGAAAAACTCACCTGGTAACCGTCTCAAACTAACATTTAATGGGGTTGTTTGAGGGTAAATATTTTTGAAGGAAGTTGAAATTATTGTTAAGACTATATTCAACAGATAAATAAATTTTACTGAGGGAATTCCAATTTGCATAGAACATTT